AAGGTCCATGGAATAGGAACACTAGATGAGAGATGCCAGCGTCTGTAAATTGAAGCATGAAGAAACAGTGTCTTCCTCAGGAACCTGTGGAGGCTGATACAGTGTATCTGGACAAAAGAAATTCAGTATTTCTATACTGAAAAAAAATACTACAGCCTTTAGAGGGCACTTAAACTCATTTATGATAAGAATGGCAACTAAAAAATATAGTTCATGCTCGTATTTAAGTTTTCTTGAGAATGTGAGAAATTCTTTGTTTATATCTGAAAACTAAATGTTATCAATGCTGTCATTTTTCATATAAAAAGTATAAAATATATAAAAATATATATGTGGCTCCAAAAAAATAAAAAAGCTCATAGCTCTGGAGACCTGTATTGGTTCCTCCTAAAGGATAAGAAATAAAAGCATTCTACACACTTTTTTCCTTACACAATACTAGAAAATGTTGACAGTAGGACCAGAATTCAGTAAATAAACACAACCTTGCTCAGAAACAGAAACCTATTTTTATCTTTGCACTTTCATCTAATACAGAAAAGGTCCCATCCCTTCCAAGATCAGAGTTGTGTTGTGTCAGCTGAATACTGCTAACAAATGCCATTTCAGGGGCAATAACATTCCAGCCAGCATGTATTTCATTTAGTGACTGAACCAGGTGCACTGTCATACTCATTATACTAACTCCAGACTGCTGGCACAAGTGTTTCAGGATACACTCATTTAAGGTAATTAAACTACTCTCAGGTGGAAGCATCTGCAGAAGCAGGATCTTGGATGCCAGGGTGAACCTTGAAACAAAGACAGGGTATATGGGGAAATGCACAGTAGGAGAACGGTGAGATACTGAGGAGGAGGGATGTTCTGTGTTGGTGAAGCAGAACTCAAAGCAAGCAGTGCCTCTGCTGTTTGCAGACAGACAAGAAGTACTTAGGGTCAGCTTCACTCCACTCAGTGAGGAAAGCTGTATGCAGAGGATACAAGAGCAGAGGTGTGGATTTCTGGAACCATTGTGACCAGTCAGTTACAGTGAAGGTCCCTTCATCAACCACATGTGATCCAAAAGAAGTCAGATCTGCCAGACTTGGTTCACTCTTGCCCTTCTTCTTGTGTAGCTCCCCTGCAAGGACACAAAGCTGTTCTAAACTTTACTTGAGCAAATGATAAAACTTGTAGTAGCCCAAGATTGCTTGCCTGCCTTGTACAACTCTGATAGCCTTGGTTTTTTCTAAGAATTGTTAAGTATTGAAAGGATTTAAAGTTACAGTGCCTAGAAGTCAAGAAAAGCCATTTATTTCTTGCAACCACTAGTTTATGGAGAAGAAGCACTGATAAACAACCGTAGCAAAAGCAGATTAAAAAAAAACAAACAACAATATATCCTCCCGACAGCCCACAAGGAAAGATCAGAGAATGGTTTGGGTTGGAAGGGACCTTAAAGATCATCTGGTTCCACCCCCCTGCACGGGCAGGGACACCTCCCACCAGACCAGGCTGCTCAGAGCCCCATCCAGCCTGGCCTGGAACACTTCTCAGCCACAGCTTCCCTGAGCAGCCTGTTCCAGTGTCTCCCCACCCTCCCAGTGACGAATCTCTACCTAACGTCTACCCCTCAATCTCCTCTCTTCCAGTTTAAAGAGCATGAAGTTCCTCTCAGTTCCAGAAGGACAGGGAACTGCTTGAAAGAGTCCAGAGCAGAGCTACAAAGATGATGAAGGGAGTGGAACATCTCCCTGATGAGGAAAGGCTGAGGGAGCTGGGTCTCTTGAGCTTGGAGAAGAGGAGACTGAGGGGTGACCTCATCAATGGTTACAAATATGTAAAGGGTGAGTGTCAGGGGGACGGAGTTAGGCTTTTCTCAGTGATGACCAGTGATAGGACAAGGGGTAATGGGTGTAAATTGGAGCATAGGAGGTTCAAGGTGAATATCAGGAAGAACTTCTTTCCTGTGAGAGTGACAGAGCCCTGGGACAGGCTGCCCAGAGAGGCTGTGGAGTCTCCTTCACTGGAGACATTCAAACCCAGCTGGACACGTTCCTGTGTGATGTGCTCTGGGTGACCCTGCTCTGGCAGGGGGGTTGGACTGGGGGATCTTTCGAGTTCCCTTCCCACCTCTAAGATTCTATGATTCTCTCATTCATATTCCACCATCCAATTGTGGTGGTTTTTTTTAAACACCTGTGTCCCCAAGGTGTGCTGTTGAGAGACACTGCAGCCTGCTCCTCACGGGACCCCACACACCGGGGTGTTTCAGGCGTCCCCGAGACGTCCCAGCAGCATCTCCGTACCCTGCACACGGGTGCCAGGCTCCTGCCCCCTCAGGGACCGGGTACCCGGTTCCTGCAGCCCCCAGCCCCGGGCTGAGCAGGCGGGCAGGTGCCTCCC